GGATCCAGGTAGTGCCCAAAGCCAGGTTGGACACTGGGGCTTGGAGCAACCTGGGATGGTGGAAGGTGGATCTGGATGAGCTTTCAGGTCCTGTCCAACCCAAACCATTCCATGATTTTATGATTCATGTGGCAGCCTGGGGATGGAGCAGAGGCTGTTTGCGAGGAAGCAGCCCATGGAGTTGCTTCCAACCTCGTTTGGAAGTGTGCATGGAAATTATGGAAATCTGGAATTTCACAGAGGTTGAGTTAATTTCATCGAAATTATGGAACTCTGGAATTTCATAGAGGTTGAGGTAATTTCATGGAAATTATGGAACTCTGGAATTTCACAGAGGTTGAGTTAATTTCATCGAAATTATGGAACTCTGGAATTTCATAGAAGTTGAGTTAATTTCATGGAAATTATGGAACTCTGGAATTCCATAGAGGTTGACTAAATTTGCTGAATCATAGGGAATCTCACCCAGTCCAAATAAAATGTACGAATTTCTAACTCGGCTGTGCAAAAGGATTGGATGGGAGATGCAAAATCCCCCTTGGAGGATTTTAACCTTTGGGGATAAAAGTGATCTGCTGAAGTTGATGGCAGCATTTCCTGGGTTGAGGATTTCATTCCCAGATCAGGCACAGGGTGGGATTGTTGGGGCCAGGAGTTGGATTCCGCCATCCTTGGGGGTGGTTTTGTCATCTTTTGGAACTGGCAAGTCTGTCACGCAGACCTAGAACACGGTGCAAAGTTTTAACTTGTGTTTTAAACCTATATTTAAACATATTTAATATTTAAACCTATATTTAAACATATTTCAGTGGGACTGTTGGAATCTGAAATGCAGGGAACTCTCAGAACTCTGGGCCTGGAAACCAAAGCTTAGGATTAAACACAGGATTTGATGTTAGTGCTTGGAAAAGGCTTCCAAACCCAGGTGCTAGAAGGGAGAATGTGGATTTATAGTTTAAAGCAGAGACATGTTAAACCAAGTAAAAGAGTTTAGAGTTTTAGAGTTTAAGATATAGGAAAAATAAAAGTAGCTACAAAAGTAAACAAAAATATTAAAATGCAGTACTATATTTGTGTGTCATAACATAACTAAAAAAAGTTACACTGTGACATGAATCCATAAACCAAAATACTTAAAAATTAAGTCAAAACCATAAATAACCTAGTTAACTGTGTTTTATTAGTCAATAATTCTTTAAAAAGTCTTATAACTAAGAGTCTAACAACCTTCTAAACCATACTATAACAATATAAACCAAACTCACCCTTCCTACCTCTATAAAAAAATAAAGAAAAATAAACAACATAATCTAAAAAACTCAAAAGTCCCATCTCTAACTTATTCAGAATTCCTTCAAAAATCCCCACAGGGACATTGTGGTTTTGGCTTCCCAGTCATCTTCCCTGGCTTTGAAGGACAATTGGAAATTACCTTTTCCAGATTAATTTGGATTACCTGAAACACAGATTTGACTTAAAAATATCAGTGAGTCCATCATATTAAAGTTTTTCTCTTAATGTTCTCTCATATAATTTAAGGTAAATTAATTATTTCAATGTATTCAATAAAACCTGGAAACATCCCATTTGTTCCTAAATTTATGCAGATTCCTCCCTCATAAGATCCTGTGTCAAAATCAGGTTCTGTGCATGAATACCAGCACTACCAGGTAAGTAATGAAAAATTATTTATTATATAGTAAAAAATACTATTATCTTAGTAAAAATATATTATTAAAATTATTATCATATATTATTATATTATTATTAAAATAATTATTATTAGTAAAAAATCCTGGGTGCAAAAATGTGTCAGGGAAATAAAGTATGATTTTTAAAGGGAAATTTGTTGCAAAACTTGAAATTTTCAGGGTTATTTATATGACTTCTCCTCCCTGGACTTGGCTTTACACAGTGTGAATAGCCTGAATATTTATTTACTTTATGCCTTATCAAAGCCCTAATTTAGGGAAAGCTTTCACCAGAATTTGTGCTTTTTCAAGTAAAAACCACTGATGGTAAAATCTGTGAGAAACCGGCTTCATTCAGTGCCTCCAAACCACTCCAATCTTGAATAAATAAATAACTCTGTAAGAGGATCCTCATGTGATAAATTAAAATGCTAATTTTTTTAATGCTGATTTTTTCATTCTCCATCAAGGAGCTTCAAGCACTGACTTTATTTTTCTCCTCATTTTTGACAGTTAACAGTTTTACTTCACAGTGTATTCAGGTGTATTTGTCTAAATTTAATGTTCCCAGATTAACCTACCAGCAAGTTTAAACATTGAAGAAAATGTCTTTTTTGTTTTTTTTCCCTCCTGTAAATCTACTTTGGCAAATATTTGTACAGATGCTGCTCTTAGAGACATTGAAAACCTTTGCAGTAATTTGTGTTTTCCTCTAAATATTGCACATCACAAAAGCTGGGGCACCACTGTAAATAATGCCAGAAAATACAATTATTGCCAAAGTGCAAGTGTACTTATTTATTTGTGCTGTTTGATCACATGTGGGCTGGCAGAGACTGCAATAAATTCAATTTATAAGAGTTTTTCTGCTGTAAATAGTTTGTTATAGATGTATCATTCAGGACCCACAGGAAGGATTTTTTTAATGCCTGTTAATTGGCAGTGATACCCAATTAGATACCAAACAGAATCCTGATTTTGGTATGGTTTACATCTAAATTAAAGATTGTCCAGTAGCACACAGCTATTGTAAAATAAATAAATTAATAAAAATAATAATTATTATTAATAATAATAATAGTACCTAAATAAAGGCCCACCAAAGCTTACAAAATAGACTTCAAAGTCATTTATTTGAAAAAAAAAACATTTAAAAAAGCTGCTTACAACTGCATCCCATCGAAAGTCATCACAGCACATAAAATAGTCTTTGAGGCAAGCTAGATAATAGAATAGGAGCAAAATCAAAAGTTCTGCTTTGTAAAAGATCTGAATAGAATTTTATCCCCTGAAGCACAAAAGGCTGGATGACTTTGTCCTCTATCCCCTTCCCAAGCATCAAACTTGGAAAGAATGTCACATTTCAGATCTCAATAATGCATGTTGTTGTTATTTTTATTAATATTGTTATTTTTTTCTTCTGCCTTCAATCACAGAACAACACAGTATTCATGTTAATTCTTGGCTCACAGATCCTCAAATTCCAGTCTCAGTAACAAATTCCTGTTCGGGACCAGAGATGGGGATCAGCTTTATATCTAAATTAAGGTAACTAATTTGCTGATTAAAATGGACTTAAAATATTAATTTAACTTTTACTGCTCACCCCTCCCCATCCTCCCTTTATTTTTCTCCCCCTTACTGTTGTGGTTAATAGCAATTTTGTGGCTACTAGTATTTTAATCTGTTTAAACAGAGATGCTGAAATCACTTCTAAAGCCTAAGTGAAGCTGAGTTGATAAAAAGTAAATCTGTTTTGCTGATCTGGAGCTGCAAATTTGGGATCACTGAGCTCCCTGCAAGCCCTCCTCCCTCAGAGAGGGGCTTGGTAAGGCTGGACAGGCTCAGGTTTGGAACAGGTTCAGGTTTAGGTTTGGGAACAGGTTCAGGTTTAGGTCTGGGAGAGGTTCAGGTTTAGGTTTGGGAACAGGTTTAGGTTTAGGTTTGGGAACAGGTTTAGGTTTGGGAACAGGTTTAGGTTTGGGAACAGGTTCAGGTTTAGGTTCAGGTTTGGGTTCATGTTTAGGTTTGGGAACAGGTTCAGGTTTAGGTTTGGGAACAGGTTCAGGTTTGGGAACAGGTTCAGGTTTAGGTTTGGGAACAGGTTCAAGTTCGATTTGGGAACAGGTTCAGGTTTGGGTTCATGTTTAGGTTTGGGAACAGGTTTAGGTTCAGGTTTGGGAACAGGTTCAGGTTTAGGTTTAGGTTTGGGAACAGGTTCACGTTTAAGTTCAGGTTTGGGAACAGGTTCAGGTTTAGGTTTGGGAATAGGTTTAAGTTCGATTTGGGAACAGGTTCGGGTTTAGGTTTGGGAACAGGTTCAGGTTTAGGTTTGTGAACAGGTTCAGGTAGGTTTAGATTTGGGAACAGGTTTAGGTTCAGATACACATCTAGATAAAGGTTCAGGTGCAGATTCAGGTACAGGTGTAGGTAGAGTTTCATGTACAGATTGAGGCACAGGTACAGCACACATTCATGTACTGGTTGATGAACAGATTCAGATTCAGGTACAGGCTCAGATTCAGATACTAGTTCAAATTCAGGTAGAGGCTCAGATTCAGGTGTGCTCAGAGGTGCAGCTTCAGGCACAGGTAGAATTGCATGTACGGATACAAACAGAGGTACAAGCACAGGCTTGGTCACTGGTACGGGTTCAGGAAAAGGGTCAGGCTGGGGCACAGATACAGGTTCAGGATGGGGCACAGGTACAGCTCAGCCCCAGGTACAAGCCCGGAGCGGTGCCAGGTCCGGGCCCGGGCCCGTCCCGCCGTGAGGGGCCGGCCGCTCCCGCCGCTCCCGCCGCGGCTCCCGGGCAGCGCCTGAGGCGCGAGCGCCCGGGCGGGGCGGTGCCTCCATTTGAACTCAAACCGCCCTCGCCGCTCCCCATTGGATGCGCTGCGCGTCGCGCGCCGCCCCCTCCGCCAATCAGAGGCCGACGCGCTCCTTTTCGAATGTTCAACGGTCAGCGCGCAGCGTTCCTTTCTGCTTCCGCCGACCCGGCACGGAGTGAAACTAAAATAGTCCCTCTGCCCGGCGCCTTCTGTGGCGGCCCCGCGGGCTCGGTGCTGTCCCGCCGCGTGGCTGCTGCCGGCAGGCGCGGGCGGTGGCGGCCGCTCCCGGTCCATCCATCTGCGCGGTTCCCGGGGGCTCCGTTTTGGTGCCTGGCGGAGAGATACACCGGGCGGGGGGCGCGGTGCGAGGGCTCGGGGGCCGGCGCGCGCGCGCGGGAAGCGCTCAGTCGGCGCCGCGCCGGAGCGGGAGCGCGGGGCGCGCTCGGACGCCGCCACACGGGGCCCCTCAGCGGCCGCCAGCGCCCCGGCAGACCCAGGTACGGGCGGGCCGGCGGGGAGGGGGTAAGGCCGTGGGGACGCGGCTCTGGGGTGCTGCGAGGCGGACTTGGGCTGCCTGACACCCCGCTTCGGTGGCTGTACCCCCGCAGTGTGGCTCTAGCGCCCTGCCATGCTGCTTGGTGCGTCCTTCTCCCCCGGTGTTTTGTTTACGTGTGCTGGCCCCGCCGGGGGCTGTGAGCGCCTGAAGGGCGGGTTCATAAACTTTTGTTTCTGCAGCTGTTGTGGCTTTTTTGGCTTGTGGGAGCTGCCGTGTGCAGGACACCGAGAGTTTGCGTGCCCTAAACCCTGAGGGACTGCCGGGATCCCCTCCAAGTTGTGTCTTGTCACCAAGTCTTTCCCACCCAGAAATTCCATGAGAGCCTCTCTTAACTGCATTTAATTGCCTTGTTTTACCTCGCTGCTTCCAAGCAGAGCGTTAATAAAGATGCTTCTCTGAGGATCGCTTGTGGTAATGGTATTTACACGTGAAGTAATGCATTATATGGAAAGATATGAAAGGGTCTCTCTGCTGTTCCTCCTTCTGCCGTGCAGGATCGCGACAGAGCGCAGGGGCTGCCCAAATTCCAGCCCCTTCCCAGCCATTCCTGCCGCTGCTCCTGGCAGCTGGGGCCACTCTCCCCTCCTTTTCCCGGAGGATATAACTGCAGCCAGGTCTCTATTTTAAATTCAAATCTGATCATTTCTGTTTGGGTAAGCGATTGAAAGATTTAGATTTAGGTGGAGGGGGTTTTTAAGTGGTTTATGGGACAAAATCTGTGTTGCTTCTGAGCCTTTATAACGTTATGATGGGTTACAAAAACCTCCTGAATACCAAAATTAGTCTGACAATTCATATAAACGCAATCCCAGTTGTTTACATGGTGAAACACATATAAACAGCACTGAGATTCTTCTGCTGTCCACTGGAAAATATCTCCTCTCTGGAACAAAATAAAACATAAAAATTTACATCCATTCCATTTACTCTCGTAAACATGTAAATCATAATTAGGATGAGTAATCTGAGTGTTTTTTATAGGTAAGGTTCCTTACATTTCAAGATGCCACGCTACGGGACAATCATTGTCATTAAAAGGAATGGGACTGATGGAATTGTTTTTCCACTTACCTCAACTTCTTGTTTATTTGGAAGGTGAGAATTTGTTTGCATACATTGAAATAATGAGTGTTTTCCTGCAGATCATGTCTTTTAATGCTTATTTACAAAAACGAATGTGTATTTAGGAATGGTGTGCAGAGGAGGGAAGGTGACACTGGACTAAAGTTAATGTAAGAGTAGAAAGTTGAACTTTATTTTATTACTGCTTTTTGTCCTTTCCTTGCCAGAACTACTTTGCTTGATTGATTTTAAGTTTCTTGCCACAGCAAATCAGGGGAAGGGATTAAAAGTGATAAAACCAACAGCAAGTTAAAATCATTAGAGATTAGCTTAAGAAAAGGACAGAAAGCAAAAGCCTGTACATTCATAAACTTGTTTGAATCACTTATAACTTTTACAAAGGTAGAAGTGGTTCTGCAGTTGAGACCAGGGGTCCAGTTACCTGTTTGCAGTCTCAGATCAGAAATGTAAGCCTGAGAATGACTTCAACAGCTGATCTTGTCTCAAAATATTCCACAAGTCTCAGGAAACTCTGGAAGCAAGTGAATCCCATAGCACCAGCTGTGCTGCAGCCGTGTCTCAGCTTGTTGTGATCTGCTTTTTTCACAGTTTGGATCTTTCACTGTTTTTCTGATCTCAGCTCCCTGATGCTGGAAGAGTGTGAGCTGCTATTTTTTGCCAATTTAAAAATACTTAGGCAGTTAGTTTTCTTCAAATTATAGACATCATGCTGCTGTACCATTAGTAACTAAAATGTTGACAAATGCCCTAATTGTCCCAAAATTCAGTTTTGTGTGAAACTGAACCTGTGTTTTGCCCCCAGGAAAACAGAATGTGACATCCGCATGCGGCTGCCCTGGGTGTCCAACGAGCACTGCAAAATCGAGATCAATGAGAACAAGGAGGTCAGATGCTGCTGGTGCACTGAGCTGTGCATTGCCTGGCTGCATCTCAGCGGGTCACTCACGTTTTTGTTTGATTTTTAGGCAGTCCTGACTAATCTAAGCTCGGTGAACCCCACGCAGCTGAACGGAGCTTGCTTTGAGCAGCCTGTTCCCCTGAAGCACGGAGATGTGTTAACCATTATTGATCGTTCTTTCAGGTGAGTGCCAGGGCTAAGCCCTTTAATTATATGATTCCAGAGTGGAAATTAATGAAGTTTAGTTCATATTTCTCCACAAAGTCTTACAGATCCTCATCAGAAGGCAGGATTGCTTAAAGTTATCTTTTTATCACTTATATTACATTAAGCTAAATCATTAAAGAGACTTGTTTAGAGAGATCATTCTGATTTTGTTTCAAGAGCTGTCAGTTTTAGGAGGAAATTTAAAATGGTTTTAAGTTGCTAAAGCCTTTCAAATGGAGTTGTGTGTATTGCTGGGAGACAACAACTACTCCTAGGTCATTCCTCTTAATAATCAGAATTGAGTCATCAATTATTTGACAAAAAATGGTATTTTAAAATATTTTTTCAGGTTTGAATATCCTCTGCAATCAACACCAGAAAAGGGGCATTCCAGGTCTTCAAAAGATGAAACTCTGCAGGTAATTTTGGGGCTGTGGGTTTTTAATTTATAAATACATTTGTACTAGTGAGATGTTTTTCCGTTTCCTTGTTCTGTTTTCTTATTAAAAGAAATTGTCCTTTTCTTATTAAAAGTAACTTTTCAGCCCTAAACTGCCTTTCTGTCTAAAAATACAAAGAAACACTTTCAGATAAATACTTTTAAAAACTTAGTTATTTTTAGTCAAAATTTTAGTAAAAAATTTGTCTGGTTTTCGTAATAGATAATTAATAATTAATAATGTTACTAAGAGCCATAAGAAGGTGAGGTTCAAGTGTTTTCTTTCTTGTTTTACAGCTGCTTTGACAGCTCAGAATTAAATAATGCAGCAAGATAAACTTTTGTCTAGGGCCTCAAATGTATTGGCCTAGGTTATATATTGAAAAATTCAAGGATTTAATTTGAATACCTTAAAGCTTGTTTAGGGACAGTGCATATTCTCTTATAAATAGTTTTTTTTCAATGTAGAATTGAAAGCTGAAGTATAAGATATTTGTTGCTCTGCTGTAATGTTATGCAAATTTACAGGTTCTTCATGTTCAGCAGGTGGCAGAAGTGGAATTATCGCACAAACAAACTCCAGGAGCTAAAAGTGTTGATGCTTCAGGTTGGTGCCTGCTTTATGAGGGCTTTGTGTGCTTTTGTCCCCTTAACTGCATTTATTATTGGCATTAGAACTATAGCAAAGCTTAAAGAAGAGGGAAAAGTCATTTTAAGACTTTCCAGTCTGAGTATATCTTGCTGTGTCAGTGATTATCTCATCATGTTTGAATGCTATGAATTCAGCTTAGACATTAAAATTCAACCTGAGCTGCTCTTCTGACAGCTGCACCTTTTTTTTAGCAAACATTGCATTATCTCATGCATTCTTTCCTAACGAAAAATTGAAACAAGTATCATTTCAGAGCTACATGGTATATATTGAAATAATTATTTACAGGATCTGTTTCCTGTAGAACCAGAACAATCCAGAACTGCTAATTCTGGGAAATTATAACCCATAGACTGGTTAAATGCCAGGACTTCATTTTCCCATCCTTCTGATTTTCAGGGATGGCTCTTTATTATAATTTCTGTCTGATTTTTGTTCCAATGCAAAAAGCCCCAGCTGCTTTCAAGTGTTCTTTTCAGTAGATCCTGGTTGACCAGGAAGAGCTTTGCTGACCAGGATCTTCCCCCTTGGAAGGGAAAATAAGGAATTTTTAATCTGTATTTATGGAATTTTTATTTGTAGTTCTGCAATTTTGAAGTAACTCAATGTCTGTATTTTTGTTTTGCTTTGCTTTCTTTGTAGATAATGCTGAGTGTGAAGAAAAAAATACCAATGAAAATAAACAAACTCCAGAGAAAAATCTTCCCGAAGCTTTCCCTGTCAAACTCCAAACACCCAAATCTTCACAGAGAATTCATCGTGTTCTTAAAAAGCCAAATGAAATGTCTCCCTTTAGTAAACTCTATGAAAGTGTGAAAAATGATCTGAAAGTGGAAAAATCTTTGCACAGGAGAAGTGCCTCCCGGCAAGCTGCAAAAGGAGACCCTGGCAGTGTTGTGCCAGAACCACGTGCTCCCATTTCATCCCTGAGTTGTCTTTTTGATCTGGGCAGCCTGGCTAAAAGAAAGGAATCGGGCAGGATGGAAAATATTGAAACATGTGTAATTGTGAGGCGAGAAGAAGAAAACAGCCCAGGGTTTAACCAGCTGTCAACTGGGGGAAGAACTCCCAGGAGGAGTTTTACCAGGAGTTCTCAAGCTCCCATTTCAAAGGAGGTGTCAGGAGATGCCAGTCAGAGTCCATTGCAGGATCCCAAGGAATTAGGGACACCAGGCAGATCCAGAGGTGCTGCAGTTACACCCACACCCAGCAAGAAGAACCACAGGAGCCCCTTGGTTTTGGTGGAGCAGTGCTCCATAGAAAGGCTTGAGTATCCAATTCAAGGGGCAGTGTTCACCCCCAGCATCTGCAGTGTTCTTAAAGGAGGAGCACCAACGCCCAGGAGGAAGAGTCCTTGGTCTCTTTTTGTGTCACCTCCCAAAGAAACCAGTGGAATGAATCCTGGAAATCCTGACACTCCAAGGACTCCTCGGCGTGGGTCGTTGAAACTGAAATCGCTTCCAGAAATCCCAGTTGGAGCTCCAAGGGAAGATCCAGAGTGCAGAATTGATAACACACAACTGCCTTTGCCAGAAGACAAATGCTTAAAGCAAAGACGAAACAGCAAACAACAAACACCAGGAAAACCTGTCCAAGAGGTGCTTAAAGAAATCTGGGATCAGACAAACCTGGATAACTCAAAGGTGGGACATTGTGAAACCCCTGCCTCTCTCTCTAATTCCAGAAGTCCCAAAAGTAGGAAAAGTAAAGAATTCTTGGACAAAAGTGCCTGTTCAGAGGCACTGGCTACAGAAGGGGTGTTGGCATCTCCTGCTGGTCAGACACCTGGAAGGAAAAGGGGGAGGCCAAGGAGCTCTGGAGTGCTGGCTGAAACAGCCCTGGAGACAAACACTGCTCAGGAACAGCACAAATCAGGCAGAAAAGCCAGTGGAATTCCAGCAGAGCAGGCCATGGACAGGTGTCCCCAAAACCAGGACTTGGAAGATGCCAGTGCTACAAGACCTCGGAGATCATCAGCTAAGAGAAGATCTGAAAGTGCTGCTGAACTGAGAGACACTGAGCCTGCCTCAGAAACCACAACTTTTGGCCTCTTGAATGGAGAAGACTCAGGTAAATACACTGGATTCCCTGCCTTGCTTTTTGTATTAGAGAAATTCTGTAGCACTTTCCTAAGAATTCTCATACTTGGGTAAGATGTGGAACCAATTACTGACACTAGTTGTAAAGTATTTGTCATGGAGTTAGTTACATTTGACTTTAACAATACACAATACCTATAAAATATCCTGGATTTAATCTATTTCCCTTTAAGGTAAGTTTCTCTGGGTTTCCAACTTTGAAATGCACAAGGAAAGGTTAAAATGCTGCCTTGGATGCTTGGATATCTAAAAATTGTTTCAATTGTTCTTTCAGGCAAGACAAAAAGAACCTCTCAGAAGAGGAAAAGTGGTGAAATGCTCCCTCAGACATTGGGCAAAAGAAAGAGAGTGTCCTTTGGTGGTCATCTGAGTCCAGAACTCTTTGATAAAAGTTTGCCTCCCAACTCTCCCCTGAAAAGAGGAGCCCTCCCTGCCAGGTGGAGTTTGCCCCATGGAAACTCTCCTCGGGCTGTGCTCAAAAAGGCTCAGGGCTTGAAGCACTTGATAGATCAGGTAAATGTTGAGTAATCAAGCTTCTGAGTCCATTATTGTGATCAGAATTTATAAATTTTATTATATATGTATTTATTTTATTATTTATTAATTCAAAATTATTGGTAATCCTTGTGTGATGCATGCTGGTGTCACTCATGAGTGTATGGGGATGCACAAAGAATCATCAGCAAAACCAGGTTTGTTATAAAGTGAAAGTACAACCATGTTCATTGGCAAGGTCACTGCTACTTACTGGGTGGGTAAAACACACAAGGAAAAATTAGGCTTAAAATTTAAAATCAATCAATCTGAAAATGTAATTGACATAAAATGATTTAATTGGTGACTGGGGATGGATGAAGGGTAAGGATGGGAAGATGTGATGATCAAAAGTAAGGTAAACCTTCCAGCCAAACTTAGCCCAGATGTGATCAACAGTTTAGGAATCATTTCCTGCATCATTCCTGAAAAAGTGAAATCCAAGTCTCAGGCAGGGTTTTCCTGGACAGATGACTTCATTAAAAAGAAGGAAAAATCCTCCATTCACTAATGTGTACTTTTTTTTTTTTTTTACCAGGAAGAAAAAAGGTCACCCAAAAATTCCCCAACCCAGCAGCCCCCAGGTGCCTCATCCCCTGTCTCAACACCCAAAATCCCTTCAGGCTCTCCAGCCCCCTTCAGGAAAGGGCGTTTCTCCATCTCCCAGCCCCCCACACCTTTCCCAATTGCAGAGGAGAAGGATGCTGGCACAGAGGACATGGACCCAGAGGGGATGAGCGGTGTCCAAGGGAAAACCCCAAAATCTGCTCCTGCTGCCCAAGATGCCAAAGCCTTGGTGACAAGGACAGCTGCCAAGTCAGCCAGAGGTGCCCAGCTGGCTTTGAAGGGCTCTGCCATGAAGAGCAGAGGTGGGGCTGTGGCTGTTATCAGTGCCAAGAGGAGAAGTGGTGCCTCCAGCGCCAATTTATTAGGTTGGTTTCAGCAGTTAATTTTTAATACTCATGCTTAATTTTAATACTTAATTTTAATACTTTCATGCCTTAAAATACAGGAACCACACTGGAAAAGGCTTGTTTTGTTATGCAGAGGCCACCAAATAATTGATGAATCTTCTAAAATCTGCTGGCCTTACTGGAAGTACAAAGTGTTGCATTTTTTCATTCATAAAGCAAATTTATTAAAGCACCTGTAAACTTAAAGGCAAATACTAATGTTCAGAAGTTTAAAAATGGTAAAATTAACATTCTCTTCGCAAAGTTAGAGTCATGATCCTTAAAATCTGTCAAGTTATGTTGACCTATACCATGTTTATCACATCAGTTTTGTTTTGAAAAACTTAACATTTTATAGCAATGCAGCTTCACTTTGCTTATTTTGTGCCTTCTTTTTATACCACACTGATAAACTTTGTCCAGAGACTGGGCTGTATTTAACTGCTCAAAGTGGTACATAACTGACAGAAATAAAAAATAGGATCATAGCTGGGTGTTTCAAATCTTCAAAATTTTCAGTGTTGAGCACTGATTTGAAATAGTTTTGACAGCACTGGAAACTGTAATAGGGGAGTTCCAGTTTTTCAGGTTTTGGCTTTTGAATAAACTTTGAAGCAGGGTGTATTTGTTACCTGTTGTCATCAGTTAAATCAGTTTGACAAAATCAAATTCCCCATTCACCCAGGAATTTTTATTACTTTATTATTCTGTCCATTTTAATGGCAGCAATGCTCTTAACAAATATCAGTGGCATTCCATTTCTCACCACCTCTTTGTAATGTGCTTTTTAATATCACTGCATCAATTCCTTCTGTAGTATGGAAAGAACATCACAGCTCGTAAAAATTTCAGATACAAAGTAAAACTGTTTCCAGTGCTTTTTCAGATAATTTCCTGGATGCTTGGCATTTTTCTCTGCATCCTGCACACCCTGGCAAAGTCAGCTTTTCAAAGTTCTTTTTATTTACAGACTGACATAGCAATTCTGACAAGAGAATAACAACCTTTTCTTGGAAAAGGAACAGCATTCCCCTTTTTATCTCTGTTTTAGAAAGTAATTTCTTTTATATGATCCCTGTGTTCAGTTAGCTTTTTTCCTGAAGTAAACAAGGCAGGTGTCCTACAACTTCCAGTTTCATTTATCCCACAGCTGTAATTCCCTGCTCCCACTGCTGTGCACAGAATGATGCTGTGCTGAAGGTAACCTTGCTTTGGGAATTTTGGCAGTGTGTCACAAAGAGAAGATGATACAAGAAAAATTATGGGGAAGCCTGTGTAGATCTAAATTCAGGATAAATAACTGAAATTCCTCAGGAAGGTGGTGTAAGAAACATCACTTAGAAACAATTTCTCTTCTGTTGTTAAATCTCACCAGAGTAAAGTTCATCTATAATGAACAAGGCTGAAAGGCTCATGGCAAATTTCTGTTGGGAAAAACAATTTCCTTCCAAAAGAGAGAGGAAGGAATTGGGTCAGTGTTCAGCTGTAGGATCTGAGCTGTGTCTGACACTGTGTGAAGCTCATTGTTTTGGTGTGGAAAGCCACTCTGGGTACTTGGAGTCTTCGCAAACTTCAGACGAAATGAGATTTTCAAATTAAGAATATTTCAGAGAATACTTCAGGTGTTATCAGGTAATAACAACCAATTTCATCTGCCAGACTGCAAAAAATGTATTGGAATCATAAAGAAATAATTGTGAACTTCTATTTACACAGCTGAGAGTTAAAATGGTTCTTTCTTATTTTCTTCTAGTTGCAAAATCTTGGGCAGAAGTGGTAAAATTGGGGGTTGCAAGACCACAGACAAAGACTGCTAAAAAAAGTGTCCGTAAAGGAAGAGGCCTGAAGAAGACAAACCACCCACCAAAGGTATCCTTTTCTTTTTTGTGTTTCTTTGTTTTATTTTCTTGCATAACCACCAAGCAGCTTGGATGGATTTTGATCGAGAAGCTGAGCTCTTGGTGTGATATAAAATGGGAGTTTTTGTCTCCCACAGCATGTGGGAAATAGAGATTTCTACAAAAAGAATCACAGAATTTTTAAGGTTGGAAAAGACCTCCAAGATCTTGGAATCCAACCTCTGATCCTAAAAATCAGGCAGGACCTGCCTCTCCTAAACTCAGGCTGGCCAGACCTTCCAACCCTTGCTGGCACTGGACATCCTCCAGCCTTCTGGAGCCTCCCAGTTAACCATGACACATGATAAATTATGGAAGGAGCTTGGCCGCCTCTTCCACCATGAATCTTTGTTTTATAACTTTTTTTTGTTTGTTTTTTCCTCTGCAGACTACAGAGAAGAAAATAAAAGGTCACTTCAGCACAGGTCATGCAGAGTCACCCGCTACCATAGTTGTAGGTAGAGCTTATTCCACCACAGTTGGGTCAGCTGGACACGTCCCTAAAGTGGTAAAAAATCCCAAGCTGAAGATAAGCATGGATATGGATGAAAGTTTCACAGGTGAGATTTCAGTCTGTTGCTTCATCTGCCCACTGTGCAGTTCTTTTGTCAAAACACCTGCTCATTTCCCCAAATATCATTTCTAGGAGTGCCTGAAATGTTCCAAACTCCAGAAAATCAGGGAGGAAGAACACTTCCTTTGGCTGCTGCTCAGAATGCTGATGTTACACCACCATGGGCTGCAGGGGACATTTCTGACTTGCACACTCCTGAGGAATCTGGTAGGTTTGGTAGTTAAAAAAAGAATATTTAGGTATATTATGGATTAGCAGCAGTCTCCGCATAGGCAGACTTAACTGACTTGAAGCATCTGGCAACCCATGAAAGGAACCATTGAGATTTATCAGGTATTAAAAGTGTAGTTATAGTTTATTTCTAAGTAGAAACTTTATGATTCATTCTGTTTGGTATGGAACTTCAAGCTGCTGGTGAGTTGTTTCAGACACTGAATGCCTGATGCACGTGTTTGGATTTTGATTTCTAGAAGGGTATGTTTGAATTTGATTTTTTATTATGCAGCAATTAAAATGCTTGAATTTTCTGCTTGATTTATTTTCTAAATAACATAAGTCTACTGCTTATTTCAGGAGAGATGATGGTGTCACCATTAAATAATTCAGATGCTTCAGAGCAGAAGCAAGCAAGTCCAGGCATATGCCACCTCCTGAGAGAGGAATCATCTCCATCTATGTTTGATGAAATAGCCACAAAAACTCCTGAAAATAGAAAAGCTGTGCACAAAGATAGTGTGGGTAATTTGGCAATAATTCCAGAAAAACCAGCATCTCTTGTGAAATCAGGAAGTAAAAAGAGGACTCCAAAGCACAAATTGGAGCCAGTTGAGGTCATGTCAAGCAAAAGGAAGATTTTAAGGACTCCTGAGCAAAGGTCAGAGCCAGGAGAGGTTTTGTTTTCATCTCTGGAATCAGGAAGTAAGAGGAAGACTCCAAAGCACAAGTTAAAGCTACTTGAGGTCATGTTAAGCAAAGGGAAGATTTTGAGTACCCTTGAGCAAAGATCAGAACCAGAAGAGGATGTGTCAGATATCAAGAGACT